TGCTTCTTGTTTCTGTTGCACTGCACCTCACTCTTGTACGTGTGTATAAGCAACCTCTGTGTTCCGTCAGTGCTGAATGATAGTTCATTTGTTCCAGGGTGGTAATTTCAATATCCTAGATTCAGGTAAGTGATCAAAGCAGACCAAAAAGTATGGTTGGTTTCATAATGACATTTTAGGTTAGGGTTTCTCTTTAGATACTTCTCGTTTACATAGGGCATACCTAAGAGTAATTTACATATCTTCCATATTTCTTAAAGCAAATAGTTTTCCCATTTTTTAAATAAACAGGTTATTACATAAGAGGTAATTCACTTTACCCTTTGTACTTGTGCATGCCAAGTCACTCCAGTTGTGTCCAGCTCTTTGCGGCCCTATGGACCCCATAGCCTGCCAGGCTCCTCCTTCCATGGGATTCTCTAAGTGAGAACACTGGAGTGAGCTGCCAAGCCCTCCTCCAAGGGATCTTCCTGGCCCAGGGATTGGACCCTTGTCTCTCATGTCTCCTACATTGGCAGGCAGGTTCTTTGCCACCAGTGCCGCCAAACCGCAGGAGATAAATGGTTAATTGACACCTAGTCTCTGATTGGGAAATACTTAGGGAATGATGAGGAGCGTGGCTTCTGTAAGCCATGCTGCATGTAGCAATGCAGACACTATTGCCAGCTCCCTGGGACCAAGTTCTACATAAATGGCCTGTGACTCCTAAGACTTTATCTGTGAGATTTGACACCACTGGAGGAGGATGGGTTCAGTGCTTTAGTTAAAAAAAAAAAACAAATTGGTAATGCCTTTCTAATGCCAAGTCCCAATTTTGGTTGAACTATTTAGACAAAGCTTAAGAAGTTATGAACTAAGTACAGTTAAGGGGATGAGGATGAGATGAGATGGTTGGATGGCATCACTGACTCAATGGACATGAGTTTGAGTAAACTCTGGGAGTTGGTGATGGACAGGGAGGCCTGGCGTGCTGCAGTCCACAAGGTTGCAAAGAGTCAGACACAACTGAGCAACTGAACTGAACTGAAATGAACTAAACTATGAATTTGTTTTTTCTTCCTCCCCCATGAGGGTTTATAGTGTATAGGAATCTTTATAAACAGATAACATTCCAAATCAGAGGCAAGATTGTATCTTTGGATTTTGGCTGCAGTCATATTATTTAGGGGCTTCCCATGTGACTCAATGGTTAATTAAAAAAAAAAAAAAAATCCGCCTGCCAAGGCAGGAGACCAAGGAGATGCAGGTTTGATCCCTGGATTGGGAAGATTCCCCTGTAGGAAGAAATGGCAACCCACTCCAGTATTCTTGCCAGAAAATCCCATGGACAGAGAGGCCTGGAAGGCTACAGTCCCTGCGGCCACAAAGAACTGGACACTACTGAGTGACTGAGCACAAATCATCTAAGATATTTGGACATATGTGTTGTGCTGCCCCACAAAATTTTCTAACTGTCTGTTAAGACAAATACATGACTACTGTAATACTTACATTTCCCAAAATAAACAAATCACCCACTCTCTTAAAGGAATCATAAACTACTTAATGTGAATAGTATCACTTATTTTGACTACCAGACTTCAGACCTTCAGTTTTAGCAACCTCATTCCATGATCCTGTTTCTCTCTGTTCTGACACCCTAGGTGTCTGAACAGTGATCATTTGAATTATGTATTCTTGGTTTCCATAAAATCTGCCACACCAGTGGGCTCCATTTTCTCCATACCTATTCATATTTGGGAGCAACATTGTACAAAATAAAAGATGCTGGGAAAAGATCTGCCAGGACAGAATTTGGACAGGTGTGAGCTCTCTAGTTAGTACTTTCAAACTTTGTCCCTCATTTGGGCCTCTCATTTCTTGCCTGGAACATTGTCATAGCTTCTCCTCTGTCTTCCTTTATGTCCTCCATAAACATATGGCTTCTAGATTAATATTTCTTCAACACAGGCTTGGTCATGTCAGTTTATATGTAGCTTCATAACAATCTCCCTGTTATACCGATGTGCTGTGCTTAGTCACTCAGTCATGTCCCACTGTTTGTGACCCCGTGGATTATTATAGCCTGCCAGACTCCTCTGTCCATGGGGATTCTCCAGGCAAGAATACTGGAGTGGGTTGCCATGCCCTCCTCTAGTGGATCTTCCCAACCCAGGGATTGAACCCAGGTCTCCTGCCTTGTAGGAAGATTCTTTACTGCCTGCGCCACCTGGGAAGCCCAAGAGTACTGAAGTGGGTAGCCTATCCCTTCTCCAGGGGAACTTCCCAACCCAGGAATCCAACTGGGGACTCCTGCATTGCAGGCAGATTCTTTACCAGCTGAGCTAGCAGGGAGGCCCACTGTTATACAGATAGAAGGAATGTAATGGTCATGATAATAATGGTAATAAAATAATAATTAGTGAATGCTCTTAAATGCTCCACGCTAAATATCAAATGTCTTGAGACAACAGGGGTTTTGTAATCGATATCAGAGGGTTTAACATTGAGGTATTTGTTGTGGGTCTGAATTACATGTGTATAGTGTGGCTGATTGAAAGATCATCTGATATACATGAGAAGTGAGTGGGTGGGGATTTGACGTTTTGTTAGAAGTGCATGCTTAGTGTTTTGATAAACCATTCCATCTCCTCAAACCTTTGTTATCAGAAACAAACTACGTTGTCAAGAAAATATAGCATAATTCAGGACAGTGGGAAAATCTTAATGCTTTCCATCCTCCTGCTCTTGGTTTCACAATTAAACATGTATGCTAAATAGGAGAGGATTGTGTCTGAGTGTTCATATCTGTTAAAGCAGATTGACTACTTGGTTACCACATTGTAAACAGTTTCTCTGAGGGATTTTTAAATTTGTCATTTATGATATGCTAAAAGAAAATGTAAGATTTAAAACTGCGTAATAAACAGGGTTCACATTTAAACACCAACATCTATACCAGCCACACACATGTACACACACACAAGCATACTCAAATATACATGCAAGCATAATACACAAATATACATGTAAATGCATAGGGAAAATAAAGCTTGGCAATTAACCAGAAGTTTACTGTCACTAAGGTTTTTCATTTTCTTTATTAATTTTTTAAATATTCCCCATATTTTCTACAATGAGTATTACTGCTTTGATGAAGACACTGCAACTTACCTGAAGATTCACGTAGCACACTCATTCACCAGTCCAAGCAGAGTGAATGGCATCATTTTGTTCAAATATCTTTGAAAAAATGATGGAGTGACACAAGAATAAATAGTCAAAGTTAAATTATCTTTTTATAATAGTAAAGTAAAATCTTAAAATAGTGCCACTGCCTGCCATCTATGAACAGTATTTCTGGGAAATTGTATGTTTTGTATTTTTAAATGACTTGGGATATTGAGTAAAGAAATCTAGCAGTAAAATGAGAAGCTCTATAGTTTATTACATCTCTGATGCCTGGGATCATTTGTGGTAATTTTTCCTTTTTTATTTCTACAACTTTACTTTTTTAAAATCACCAAATAGTGATATAGATGACACCTAGCACTCACAAGTTTCACACACACAGACATCACACACACAAACAAAACCACAGAATTAAGAAAATGAGGGACAAGTTCATACTTACTTCATACTTGAAAGTATTTATTAATGCATTGGTTCCTTGGTAATGTTTTGATAGCCTACTGTGTCTTAATCTTTACAGTGTTTTAAGTGTTATGAAAGGATAGATGAATATTAGAATGCAATCCCTAGTCTCAACTTATATAGCACCACAGTTCTCAATCTTGAGAGTGCATGAGAATTACCTAGATGATATTTATCTGACATACATAGTGTATCAGAGAAAGAATAGGCTAGATGTTGAAGCAGGAAGATATTTGAATTCAGCTGCCTATGTGATGTTCAGAAAACAAACATGTTTAGCCAGCACCTTAAGGAGAAAGGAACTGAAAAACAGAGAAGATAGCAACTTGCCTAGTCTTCCGATAGTTACAGAGTAGAATGAAAGACCTTGGTCCTTGGCTTCTTAAGACAGTGCTATTTGGCTGGCTAGAACTCAGCTCTATGTTTAAGAAATGAGTGGGTTGCAGTAGAGTAGTGTCTTCCAAGCAGAGTTTGTCAGAATTTTGGAAATCTGAAAAGTTTCCACTGGTTTTCTGCCTGTTTCCCCTATCATTGAATTCACTGAGGCTAGAAACCATAACTTGTTACCCAGCAGTTGGCAAAATTCCTGGTATTTACAAGGTGGTCAGTTAATGGTTGATGACTGTATGAATGACACCATTTAAAAAAAATTCTAAAGTCATATATTTAGAGGCAACTAATGTATTTCTTTGCTATTGGATGGCTTGGGAAGATACAGTGTTTTTTCTGAAAGGAAAAGGTATTTGAATCTATAATTTTTTTTCTCTGTAAATAAAGCTATTGTATCTTGAATATAAGTACCCATGTTCATTTTATAAACTAAAATGAAAGAGAAGAAAGGGCAAAATGTCTATTTTTTTAAAAATAATAACCACAAAGTGTTTTTTCTTAATCAGATATTGGAATTAAATCATGCTATACATTCAAGTTTATGTTATGTTTTTTGTTTTCTTGTAACATTGTAACATAGGAGTGAGTGAGTGAAGTTGCTCAGTCCTGTCTGACTCTTTGGGACCCCATGGACTCTAGCTTACCAGGCTCCTCTGTCCAGGCAAGAGTACTGAGTGGATTGTCATTTCCTTCTCCAGATAAGAGGGTTAGCATATTGTAATATATATAGGTCTTGAGCTTTATCAAAGCAAATGTTGAAAACAGCACCAGCATGAGAAGTGTCTCAGTTTATTCACCATTCTGGAGGACCTCAGGTATCATAGTTTATGAAATCAAAGGCTTTCCTGAGATGCTCTATGCAACCAGACAGTTTTGAATTCTAAGGAGAAAAATTGAGACTCAGAGAACAACATAAGTAAATTTGTTTCAACCCAAAAAGAAAAGAAGGATGACATAACTCTTCATTTTACTTTCAGAAGGAAGTTACACTGAAGAAATGAGCCCCCAGATGCTTGACCTCTGTCAGCCACTTGTAGGATTTCAGCTATTGGAAGGTTCCAGAATTGGTGCCCATACTCTGACCTTGCCTGGCCACCATTCCTTTGCTTGTCAAGAGAGCTTGGTCACCATGTGCCATGGCCAAAATAATGGTGGTCCTTCCCATAAGCCATCTTCAGACTTCCAACTGACAGTGTCTGTCTAGAAGAAAGAATGGGTTCTTTACTGCTTTACAATCTAGCACATTTACTGCACTGCATGATCTAAAATATCAAATGAACTCTATCTGTAAAGTTTTAAAAAATATAAATGGACAAAATAGCAAAGGGTGGTTTGGGGGCCCATTCACACTAAGACTATTGTTCTTGCCATTAATGTGTTTAAGGAGACTGTCCATATATTGCAAAACATTGTGCCAATTTCCCTTCACTTCTGAAGTTGTAAAACTCAACCTTATTACCTAAATAGTTGTCCAGAGAAAGCAAGAAGGGAGCTACTTTAACTCCTGTTCAGTGACTGAGTGACACAGAGAGGCATGAGACAAACCTTTTTGCTTCCAGATCAGCTCCTCCATCACCTCCCCCTTTTTTGGTCATACCAATGAGCAGAAATGAATCTACCCCATGTGGTCATTGCAGGATTTATCTGGGCATTTGCTGAACCTGCTCGCAATTTATTTTTATTTCTTCCGATAGACATGGGTTTGGCACGGGAGAGTGAATTCTTTCTGAAACAGCAGATGTGCCTGGTACACTCGTTTGCTATAACCATTTGTGCTGTGGTTGAAAAAAAAATTTTTTTTAAGAGTGCAGAATTGTTGAGGGGGGAGGGTTAAAAAACCAGAACCATTTTAGCGATTATGCAAAGTTAGAATGTGAGTAATTTTGCTGCAGTTAGTCATTATGTGCTTTCATAGCTTGTTTTACAAGGATAAAGGAATACGTACAGGTTTGGTGAATAGAGCTCTTATTTGTCTCTAGTAGTCGCCTTTTATAAAAACATTTTCCACCCTTTCTCCTACTATGTGGCAAAAGTGCTCTCTCCTTCGAAATTATACCCTTCTGTGATTCAGCCCTTTTATCCATCCACAGTAAGTGGACAAACAGCCTCCATTTCTGCGAACAAATATGTTAGGGGAAGAGAAACTTCATTTTCTCATATAATAGATAATGCAGATGATGCAGATTCAAATAATAAGAATATAGTGATCATTTTAAAAAAGCATGTTTTCTGCAAAAGGGAGGGAAAAATACTGAGCAAACATCTAGTGACTGTGCTATGAGCCTAATGTGCTGTAAATATAGTGTCCTTGCAGCATTTTATTTGAAATATTTGATAGGACTTAGCAGATTTTTGCTCACCGTATTGTCTGAGGATTGTAACGCACCACCTATTCTTTTTTTTTTTTTGCTTTGCTTTCGGTCACCCAAACTCCCTTGGACATATGTGAACGAAGGTCTGTTTGTTTCCACTGAAGCAAATATAGTCACTTGCTCACACTGGTGGCTTCCCTCAGTGAATTCCACTACTATTTTGGAAACTCCTGTATGAAAACACAGCAACCCAACCTGTCCCCACTGAGCCTTGTGGGTGATTTCCACGCACGGCTGCCCAGTGTCTATGTACTGAGGTTCACTTTTTGATAAAAAACAAAACTGGGTTTTGTAGCCTTTTGGTAGGCTTGTTACTAAGTCTGGGCATTCTGGTGTAATGGCAGGAATGCTGATATTGGAGTCCCAACAGTGGTCTTAGAAAATCTGAATTCTAATTCTGATCGCTCAAGGCTTTATCACCTTGGATGAATCATTCCTAAGCCTAGTGTCCTTGAGGAGAAGGTAGAAATTTATGACCTATAAATTCCTTTCAGCTCTAATACTCTGTGATTCTGTAAAGAATATTTAGTGATGTACAAATAAGTCAACTTTATTTTTTCTTTCTCAAAAATTCCTTCGTGTCTACATCTGTACCAGATAACTCTCTTCAGGCTGCTTTTCAAAGTTGGCCACATTTTAACTTCACCCCGACAGGCAAATTTCAGTAATGAGAAACCCCTGTAGGACTTGAGAGAAGGGATCACATTCTTTTACATTTTTTGTCTCTTGATGGCTTCCGAGTAGCAATAATAGACTGGAATGGTTGGTTCTATTGTAGTAATTGGTTGTAAACAAGAGCTGTTGAACCAAGCTCACCATATTTCCTGTTACCTATGGCTAAGAAACCTAAAATGCATAAAGTAACTCAGAATACTTGAAAATACTTGAAAAATTGGATTGAATTACACAACCCTCTATCATGCTTGAATACTTCTTGGATAAATAATTACAGGTTTGGCTTCACAAAGCTGATGGGGAAAGTAAAATAGTGTGGAGGGGTGATCATTTAGCCAACTACTGCTATTCTTGTTTTATTTCATTGAATATCTCTTTGTAGATTTTGTCAATAATACTTTTTTAAAATGATTTCATTCACTGAATAAATACATATGGAGTGTGTTTGCTGAACTCTCAGCATATCCCTTATGGCAGAAAGCGATGTAGAACTGAAGAGCCTCTTGATGAAAATGAAAGAGGAGAATGAAAAAGTTGGCTTAAAGCTCAACATTCAGAAAACTAAGATCATGGCATCTGGTCCCATCACTTCATGGCAAATAGATGGAGAACATAACTGAGGGACTTCTCTGGTTTCCAGTGGTTGACTCTGTGCTCCCATTGCAGAGTACACACCCCAAAATTAATTAATTAATTCAAAAATAAAAAAGAAGGAATGACAAAAGAGTGGACAAGTTCTATCATTTAAGCAAAGTGCAGTGTTTTAAAAGGACACCACTGTTGGACACCTTATCAAGACATGGATACTCAGGTCTGGCTTTCTAGAGTGTCATTCATTTGAAACCTCAAGAATGAATACTGGTTAGGAGTTGGGAGGTGGGGCAGATTGGAAAGCATTCAAGTCAGGCAACTGCAGAATGGCTGGAGCATCAAGTTTCAGGGGGAGGGAATGGAGAGAGAAGATTAGGAAGCAAAGTGATGACTCTATCAGGAAAAAAAAAGAAAAGAACTTCATCCTAAGAGCAATGAGATGCTTTGGGAGATTTAGTAAAAGAAGGCAATCAATTTAGATTTTAGGAATATTCTAATTGCAGCATAGAAAATATATTAGTGATCAGTAAGACATCATTTTTAAAAATACCTACATCCTTTGAAATATTTATAACCTTAAAATTTGCTATTTTACAAAATTTTATCAGTATACACATGTGTCCTTATTTTACTTTTTTGTTAGACCATTATTTTGAATACCTATTCCCTTGCTTGCCAGCTGCATAACATTCCATCAGAACAATGCACCATGATTTTCTCAACCATCTCCTAATAATTTATTTTTAAATATACAATCAGTGTAAGTTACAGGCATTTTTGATAGCTCTTCATTGCCAGTTTACCCACCAGAGAAATTGTTTCAACTTCCAGTTTTACCAGTCATATATTTACACATATATACAAGTCATATATTTATACCCTCACTAGCATATTCTCACAGAGATTGTGTTTTAGTATTTCTTGACCTGTTAGTTCAACACCAGGCACTTTATGGTAAACTCCTGGCCTGACTGGAGGCCCTTGAGGCGATGACTTGGTGTCATGAGGTCACTTTTAAGTAGACTCTCCTCCTGCCACATCCCTAGATTACAGAACACGCTCAGGTTAAACTAACCCTCACCACAATGCCACTTTTTCCAGCGCTAGTCACATGCATCCTAGGGGCTAAGTGTTCTGTATTGTATGGGTATTTATATAAATTGAAGCCTGGGAGGCCCTCCAATATTAATGACATACCATCTCATTTGATGGTTATTGGGGGAAAAAAACTCCCTAAAATACTGGCTTTCTTCGTGTTCATATGATGATATGCTAGTTTTATGAATGAATGAGTTCAGGGCCTCCCCTTGGTCATTGCTTCTCTGTTGAATAATTAGGGGTTAAGAAAGGAAGACTTCAGGCAGAATCTTGGTGCTTCTGATTGCCTTAATTTTACTTCTGGGAAAACACGTTGACATACTGGCATCCATGTCTTCAACGTCCAGGGAGCAGTTTGTCTTCAAAGTATCTTATACCCATTCAGAATTCTGTGAGAATTAATTAAGTGGAGAAGTTTCAAAGACAAAAGCTGATCTGGAGTACAACACCAGACTGTACTATTTTTGCGATTTCAGCCTCCTAAAGGTATTAAGAATAGCCCCTCGCTAGCTGTCAATACACATTCTCAAAGCCAAAGCACTAAACTGTGAAATGAACAAGGGCTGATACAATGATGGAAGTAAGACATCTTCATGTCTCTCTAACAAGAACTCTTTGGAGGACTTGTCAGGCAGTGTGTGTGTGTGTGTGTGTGTGTGTAGTTTAGGAGTCCATCAATGAATGAAAATTATCATATTAGTAGTGTCCCTGTATTGGTAGCACTGTTTTGAACTCAGTGAACCTGATTAAAATCCTGTGATTTTAATTTCAAAAGTAATCTTTGAGATCATTTTAACCATTCGCCAGTTTTCAGTTACCACACATGAAGTAATTTTTTCTTCAATGTAGAAAATACAGAAACTTATGAAGATGAAAGTAAAAACTTCTGTTAATTGCATCAGCTGATGCCATTTTAACCTTTTAAAAGTGTTTTAAAATCATTTAAGATTTTTTACTATGTCCCTTCCTTTTTTACTGTGTAAGCACTCACACAGACGTTGGGATACTACAATATTTTTGGTGTGTATTAAATCTTAAAAATAATTTATTTATTTCATACATATTATTCAAAATCTATATTTTTATGTATATGTATGTGTGAATATATACACACATCAGAGGAAGATCTATATCTTTCACAATATATGATTATGTTAGAAAAGTAGATACTCTAAAATCATCCCCTTAAAATAACCACTATTATCATTTTGGGAATAGATTCTTCTAGCTATGTGTGTGTGTGTGTGTGTGTGTGTGTGTGTGTTATGTATATATGAGAGGTATAGATAGATGCATATATTGATAAAACAGTGTTCCCTAATCTGTTTCTAAAATGTATAACTTTTTATTTTTTTTCTTTCCTTTCTTTTCCCTGCTTCTTTCCCATCATTTTTTTTTTTTGTTTTCCTGCTGTAGTAATAGATACATAACAAAATTCACCACCTTAATCATTGTAAGGATTTGTCTAGGTGGCATAAAGTATATTTACATAGTTGTGCAATCATAATCCATCTTTAGAACTTTTCTACTTTCCCAGACTGAAAATGCACATCAGTTAAATAATTACTCAACATGCCCCCCCGACCTCCTTGTTAACCACATTTTGCTTTGCCTTCATGAATTTCATTACTTCAGGTATCATATATCATTGGATTCATACTGTATATATCCTCTTTAACTGGCTTATTTCATCTTAGCCTAATGTTTTCATGGTTCATTCATGTTTAGCATGTTTGAGAGTTTCTTGTTTTAGGCTTAATATTACAACATTGTATGTTTATACTGCATTATCTTTATTCATTCATCTGTTAGTGGACACTTTGGTTGCTCTCAAATTTTTGGATATTATGAATAATTCTGCTATGAACATAAGTATACAGATAAGAGTCCTTCCCTGTTTTGCCTTTTGGGGTAGATATCCAGAAGTGAAGTTTCTGGATTGTTGATATGTTTTGAAACATTTTAATAATACAATATTTCATTATAGGAATGTACCATCATTTATTTAACCAGTTCCCAAGTACTGATTATTTAAGCTGCACATAATCTGTTATTTTTATAAATTTCATTGCCAAGAACATATCTTGAAACTGAAGGTTTTAACCATCTATGATTATTTCTTTTGGTTAAATTCTTAAAAATGAAAGGTATGGCTTTTGTTAGGACTTCTGATACATATCACCAAATTAGCCCTCAAATTGCCCATAAGAAGTTTATAGAAACAAATATTACCTTGGTCCTAAGTCTGAATTATATGAACATTGCCCTTTGAAGACAGTTGGGATAACATCCTCCCATCACACATAGCCCCCAACTCCAAGCTATAATTCCTTATTCTGCTTTAACCTAAATAGGTGGTTCTCAACTCTGGTTTCAACAGAAAATCATTTATTCCTCCCCTTTTTAATTTCCAGATTTCACTCCCCAAGTAATAGGCCTAAGATAATTTGTATCTAAAAAGCTCTAAGTGAAAGACACTTTGTGTTTATAGAGCACTCAGTGATTCTGTTGTGCAGTCAGACTTGAAAAGTACTTCTGGATATATAGAAGCATATTCATACATTGTACTCTTCGTCTGTTGGATCATTTTCTATCTCATGGGGTCATCTATCAAATGAAAAGTATGTGACTGGAATGAAAAAGGAATGCAGCCATGGGTATTAATCCCTGAATAATGGAAGACAATCAGTGAGGGGACTCAAGAAAGCAAAATTAAGTCATTTTCTATAGTAAGGGCTTGGAGAAAATGGTAAGTAATTTTCCTTGAGCAAAAAAGAAGTAGCCAAAAAAAAAAGGAATGCATGGCATGTAAGCTGGGGTTCCTTTTTTTTTTTTCTTGCCCTATGTAAACTCAGACACCAAGTCTGTCCATTCATTTATCCCGTCATGGTTTATTAAGTACCTACTTGGTGTGAAATTTTAGTGATAACATCAAGCTCTTTTTGGCCAGTAAAACTCATTGTAAATATTCAGAATTTGCTGTTGGAATAACTGGGTTTTGAATGTGCTTATGACTTCTTTTGTATAAGGATAGTATTGGAAGGAAAAGAGACATGAGCCTACTCCCCTCAAGTCTGTGTCTTGAGCAGTGAAGCTCCTTTTGGGGGGGGTTGTTATAGAATGACTTTTATTTGAAGAATAAGATAGACCACTCATTTAAAAAGGAGGATAAAATGGCACTATTCCTAGATCTTGTTTGTTGTTCAACTAGAACAACAATCTGGGGAAGTAGTGTGAATTTTCCAGTGTCAGTCATCTCTAAATAGTGGCAAAGCTGGGATTTTTTGATCCTGCATGACCCTTCAATTTAATTGATCATCCTCTATCTTCCAATATCCTTAACTGAGAATGGAAGTTGGAAAATGCACCTCCTGCAGTACAATTGGCCTTTAGAAATCCTTCATTTGGCTTCCTAAAAAAAAAAAAAAAAGCCTAGCTTTAAAGTCAGAAGGGGAACCTCTGATCCATTTTGCACACAGCAATGATCAACTGACACAGTAGAGCAGCTGCCTTACACATGGGCCTCTTATTTTATACAGTTCAGGTCACTCTGTTGTTTCCCAGATAACAATGCTAAGTATCACTTGCTGTCTGTTGTACCATTTACTCCATTAGTTTTCTTCTATGACAGAAATATTTTTCTGTACCCACATAGACTGAGAAGGCCTCTATGTTTGTTTTCGTGAATTTCTCATATGTGGTTTATTTTACCTTTTCTTTACCCAAGAATGATAATAGCGTTTAGCTGCTCAGTCGTGTCCAACTCTCTGCAACCCTTTGAACTGTAGGCCACCAGCGTTCTCTGTC